TTAAAAACAACAAATTATTTTGAATTATTATTTATACGTTTTTATAGTTCATTAAGTTATATGATTTATCGATGGTCAACAACATTTCATATTGAATCTATTGTTATGAATACAATTAGTCTTATACAACAACAAATTATTAGTAATAAAACAACATTTGAACAATTATTAACTCAAGTTTATACTTATTATAATGAACAAATTAAAGAAAAACTTACTGAATTTCATTCTGGTATATAATATTTTTTTTTTATCTATCGAAAGAAATCTCATTAGATAATAAAAAAAAAGCTTTTAAGATAAGACTTGCGAAGTCTACAAAATCCGAAATTCTTCACATATGTGAGATCTAGGGTGTGGGTGTGAGAGTGGATTGATTGAACATTGTTTCCAGAGTCCCGAACAAAAACTTTCTGAGCTCATATTCGACAACAACACAATTCTAATTCTAACACATAGTGTTTCATTCGTCTAGAATACATTCGAACGAATTATTAATCAACAAACCTCTTGTCCATAAAACTTTCGCACTATCCATTAAAGCAATACGATCATGAAGAGTGTGAGAATTGAAGTCAGTCGAGTAGGGCCCGGACTCGAACGGGTCTGAAAATTTTGCTGTGACCGAGTCCGGGTCGGATCAAACTCTGAAGAAAACTTTGATGCATACAATCTATTGTGAATTTTTTCAAAGTTTTGTTCCTTTTATGAAGAAAAAAAAATTGAATGCATTTAGAAGATAGACAATAAAACACTTTTTGAATATATTATCGAAACTGATTTGTCATCGTGCTTGAATTCAAAAAATTTAAGCGACCGGATCCGGATCCAAAAATCTTGGACCCGAGAGGCTCTACAGTCGGGTCTCAAAATTTCGGACTCGAACCTAGAGCCAATCCTACAGACTCTAATGAAAATGTTGTTTTCATGATATGACTTGCGTAGTGAATGATTATTTGAATTGTCAATTAATATATATTTTCTTTGATATTTAGCTGCATCGTCAAGTCCATTTTCAGATCCAGTATTATTTACAAATTCATATAGTGTAACTATTTTAATTGAACTTTTATTAATTTTGGAACGTCAATGTTATTTATCATCGAGTAACAATTCATCAACCTTACCATTACAAGTTATGCAACAATTACAATATCAATTAACGGAATATATTCGTTTATTTATTACTGATCTTTGTCAAGCACTTATTGCTTGTTCATCACCTGTATATACATTGAAAAAAATTCTTAAACCATTTGCACATGTAAAACATCAACAATTCGGTTTACTTTGTAAATTTCTTCGTATACAAATATCTCAAAATGTTTATACAGAATTGGAACCAAAACTAATTTATTGTTGCATTAAAGATACATAAATTCAAATTTATGTATATATGTAAAAGAGAGAGAGAAAGAGAAAGAACATTTGTATATAAATTTTTTCTCTTTGAATATGTGTATGTTTATCTTTACATGAAACTAAGCAATTTACATTATAGAACAAAATTTTTTTAAACAAAAGAGAATGTATAATGTGTGAGTTTTTTTTTTTTTATTATTATCTTTAACTTATTATTATTATTTTTCTGTAGTGTGTGTAAAACACGCATTCCGAAGAGTGGCGATGTAATGAAAGAAAAACATCGATATTGAAAGTGATGATTACAAAAAAAGAAAAAAGAAACGAGAACACAAATGATCATGATTTCTTTTTTTTTATTTCTAAATTGATTTATTTCCTATTTAATAAAATGAAAATATATGAGAAGAAATTGAACAAATAAATTCATACAGATTTTTAATAAATTAATTTGTGAAGATTTTATTGAATTTTATATAAATGAACTTAAAAAAAAACAAAAAGGAAAAGTATCATTAGTAAGTTCAAGATGTTACTAGACATAAATACATCATATTCAAACTTGAATCTGTATATATTTTTTTTCTATATTCAAATCGAAACAATTTAAGAAGTGTTGCACACACACTATGTTCTAAGTTGAGTATAATGTCTGACTTAGAATTTACACAAATTCTCCTGTTTTCAGGAGTTGAATTTTTAGACATTGTAAATAAATAGTAATAAAAAAGAAATAAATAAAACGGAGAAGCGAACTCATTTATCGCAGTGTTTAATGGATGCAACTTTTGTAAAAGTATTATTAGTTTCATCAAGTTTCTATCAGATAACTACTAAAATCGAATGATACACGACTGGTAGGGGAAGTTCTTCAACTGATAAATCCCTTTTGACTCGAGACTAGAATTCGCCCAGTTCGAAAATTTTGAATTGTGTAGAATACAGTAGTCACCAAATACAAAGAATCGGGGAAAAAAAAGTATCTCATATCTTCGGGACAACGATCCTATCCCAATTAGAAAATGTCATTGGAAGTATTAAAGTATGATTCGACCAGCTTTGGATTCGGATCCGACAGACTCTAGTTGAAACTACGTGTATTATGTAGACTTAAATGAGCTATGAATACCATGAAAAGAGTTCGTGCTCTTATCTTATTACTACGGAGATACTGTACTTTTATGGTGTTTTTTAAATGAATACCATACTTCCCTTATGAAAACTGATTTTCGAATTTTGACTGAAAGCCTTGCATGGAAACTGATTTTAACGAGAATAATGTCTTGTGAATGTTTTAGACCTTGTCACTGTTGCTAACATAAACTACAACTATGCACATAGCATTCCTTTTAATTTGTTCATATTAACCGACAGATTTGATGCGCGTATTTCAGGATAGAAGTAAATCAAAAGATCTGAAAATAAAATTGATCCATTCTGGTAACATTTTCTTGAAGTTTATTATAATATCTAAAACCTATGTTTTTGTATTATATAAACTAACGATCAATGAATACAACGATTGTGTATGCTTCAAATATTTCATTTATTTGCTTCATCAAATTCATTTGTATATAATCTATGAATGTTTTTATTTGATAATATGATTAATCTAAGAATATACGCACTTCAAAAGTAATCATATTCTTCAGTTTTTTTTTCTTTTTTGATTATAAAGGTGAATGAGTTTGTATTTATATATTCATTTGAATAAGAGTATAGTTCAAAAGATTTCAAATATCTATTCGCTCGTGACCTGCAATTTGTCAAAAATTTTTTAAAATCAATTTATCCAATAGAACAGTTTTTCTTATTTGTTCCATTCAGTTGTTGCTTGCTAGTATTGATTGGAAACTGAATCATATTTTTGTCTTTCTGTTATATGCATCAAATATAATTTGTTGTTAAGGACAAAAAAGAAAAGTTCGATTTAAATATTAAAAAAAAAAGATATTTTTTTTTGATCTGGAAGATAACTTTTGTTGAATAGTGGATGAACTTTAACATAACACAGGTGAATGCTAGATGTTTTCTGATTCGTTCTTAAGAAATACTGAAACATACAATGTGAAATATATAGATTTGAGACATTTTGCCATTTATATTGAATTAATTTAATAAAGATTACAGTTGATTTCATTGTTTTTTCTTATTGAATCAAAGTGAAAAAAAGCAAAATTTTATCTAAATGTACATGTAACTTGCAGATAAATAACAATTTGTTATCATACAAACATTGAATATGGATACTATTCAATCATTTTATATGATAAATTCGGCGTTTTTTTTTTGATTTATGAAATCAATATCATAATTATCCTTTAGAAAATCCTACATGAATTTTTTGAGAGAAAAATCTCGTTTATTAAATCGACAATTGATGAGTTCATTGTCACCATTGCAATTATTGCTCTAGTTACTACATGTGGTTTAAGCATTTATCAATTTTTATTTTCACATGATGAAGGTAAATTTAGAAAAAAAAATCATTTTGTAATGAATGTTCTTTGAGAGGATAAAATAATAGAGATTTCTTTCTAAGGTTCATATCTATTAATGAACAGTAAATAGTTATTAAACGAGCAAAGTCCCGTAACTGATTATTCGCTTTGCAGTTCGAACAATGTGCGTCTTAATGATGCTATGAATGTCCTGAAAAAGAGTTCAAGCCCTTATCTTATTGTTGTACAGATACTGCATTTTTTACAGTTTTTTAAAGTCTCTCAGGAACACTAGAAAAATTCGTTTTCGAAAACTTTGTACAAAGACAGATCTTAACCAGAATAGTTTATTGTCTTTTGATTTGCTACTTTCCTAAAATAAAGGAACATCAAATCTATCAGTGTATATGAGTAGTAAAAAAGGCAGACTTGTATCATAGTTGTATCTAGAGATATACCGAGACTCTCGGCAGACACTCTTGGTATATTAAACTATTCTTAGTAAACTCAATCTCTATGAAAAGTTTCAAGTTAAAATTCGAAAATCAGCTTTCCTGTGGGAGACCACGGCATGAACTGAAACAAAAAAATACTGTAAAAATGCAATATCTCGGCAGTAATAAGGTAAGAATTCGAACTCTTTTCAATAATCTCGATTCAAAAGCGACTAACTAGTTGAGTAACTTCCTTCGTAAGATTTCAATTTGTCAACATCTATTCATGATGGTAATTGAAATGAAACAATTGAATACAAGTTGATTTTAAATGACATCGGAAACAATAGTAATGATCAAGTCTCATTATTGTTTTTTTTGAAAGAACATAGTTATTACTTCACTTCTCGATAAATTATGTTATATAAACAACTGGATAAAGAATATGTAATTATATATGTTTATTTTATCATAGATATTTCTACACGTATTCGAGAAATAATCTTTCGTAGGGTTCATCGATTACTTATTGTACAATGTAAAATTACTGAAACACGTGAATCTACATTAATAATATAGTAAAAAGTATTGCAGTACATGAATTTATTAAAGTTTTATCATATCAATGTTTATCTCAAGTAAAAGTATTAGAAATAATTCTTTTATTGATTGGTTTTTTTTTTCTAAAGAAAGAACTTATAAAGAAACTTGAACAATATCGAAAATTAGAAAAAATTAATTTGAAATCAAGACAAATTTCTAGATGAAATTAACAAAACTAGATATGATAGAAATTTATAATAAAGTAATTTATATTTTTTCTGATATTCGTACAATGAAAGCTGAAATTATTCGTTGTATAGCAACTATATTTCATGATGATATAGATGTTTGTAGAATAGTAATTTATTTTAAAATTCTAAAAACATTAGTTCTTGTTTTTTTCTTTAATCTCAAATTTAGATGACATCTGGTGGTACTGAATCGATATTAATGGCTTGTAAAACTTATCATGATTTAGCAATATCTAAAGGCATTATTAAACCTGAAATGTAGGTCAATTCATATAATGTTATATCATAAAAATACAGTAGGAGATTAATGTGTATATTTATATTCCTATTGAGCAATTTCTACTATTGAACATATACATGTAATTATTCGTATGTCGTTTTTTCTCACTTGTTGACACATTACGAAAGAGAAGAGAATAGAAACAGTCGGCGGTAAGTTCTTATAATAGACACATCAACGACGATGATTATATTTATGTGTGTACGTTTGGCTCTCATCTATCGAACACAGTCATAATTACGTATGCATTTAAGCTTTGGATCTGTCTATTTAGAGAAAAAGAAAAAGAATAAAGTTTTTTTTTTTTTTTTTCTCTTTTTTTGTTTTCAAAACATGCTCTTCTATTAATAAAAAATAATCACAAAAGAAAAAAACAAAATTGGAAATGATATTTGCCGATATGATGAACTTCTACCGAAAAGAAATTCATCAGATTTTAAATAAAAATCATTATTACATTGTTCACTGTTGCAACGTTTAAGCGTTATTATATTAATAGATGATGTACCAATTTTTGATTCAAGTAATAAATTTCCTTCAATTGACATATCTTCATAAGGTGAACAATCACGTACAGCTCTTAATAATATATTTGAAGATGTTTCACGTTGATGTATTGATAATGATAATGAATGATTATAAATAATAGCAAAATAACAATATGTTTGACATGTTCTTACAGGTATTTCTCGTGTAAATTCACCACAACCAGGTCCATCAATAAAATTGTCACATGTTAAACATTGAAAATCATATGTATTAATAAATAATGAATAATCAATTAATATAATGAAAAGAATAATAAATAAATTTGATAATGAAAAATCCATTCCATTTGATATTTCTAAAAACTAAAATCTTATAAATATTTTATATATATTTTATTCTTAAGACATATATGTCATTTTTCTTTCTCTGTTATTTATTCGACTAATTCAAATACAACATAGTGTTTGTCTTTTTATTACATTATTACTTACGCTAGTATAAACACATATACACTTGTTATTTCTTTTGCTCGTTTTCTCTTTAGTAGATTTATAATAAATTCTTAGTTATTTTTGTTCATGTTATTCATATCATGCTCGATTGATTTCTATAAAGGAGATATTAAATAGATACAAAATGTGTTTATATATATAATGATAAAAAAACAAGACAGTTTCGTAAATATATATATATATATATATATATGAAAGAAAACGAGAGAAAAAAAATGCTTGTATTCTCTCTCTCTCTCTCAGAACTTCTGGTAATGATCGATCTTATTCTTTATGTCTTATCATCAATCAAAGTCGAGTTATCTTTACCGTAATATGTTTGAGAGAATAAGAGAGGAGAAACAAAAACAACAACAGAAAAAAAAAATTGCATCACGTCCAAAAATAAATAAGACATAAGCGTGAAAGAATGAAGTTTTATACTTAGATTGAATACCAAATAAAATATCTCTGATCGATCAAGTAACAAGATATATAGAATATACATCTGATCTAAATCGATATATATACATATATCATTAACGAGAGTTAAATGCTTTTAGCGACCGTTCAATACAAATAAACAAAAGAAATCATCAACATAAGTTATTATCCGATTAAAAAACGTGTTGTATATATAAAGGCAATGGTATGTAAAGAAATACAAAAAAAAAGAAAAGCTAACAAAGGAGAAGAGTAATTCAGATGTTCTCATCAAAAACACAATTGCATTGTTATTACTCTCGTTCTTATTTCTTTCTTTTTTTTTTTTGTTCTTCTCTCATTGCAAAAGCGCAGACACATCGATTGACCTGAATAAAAGAAAAAAAAAAAAAAAGACTAATAATTTTTTTTCTATCACAGGAGTTCAACTAAAATACGGAAGGATACAGCTTGGATATTTCTCTTTACTTTACTTTACTTGTCGTCTATTCTTAAGTTCTTTCTTTTTTTTTGACTTTTCATACAAATGAATATTTATTACTACTCAAGTCTACGAGTCAAAATAGTCAGACGAAAGCAATCGGCAAGGAAATAGAATTTCCATTATATATATATTAGCCTCGAGATGAAAATAAAACCTAAGCAATAAATAGTATTCATAATTCAAATGAATTAAGAAGCAAAAAAAAAAGCGGCAATATGTAGATATGATTCATACACCAAATGTCTATTAATCTTATTCAGTAAAGGTTGAAAGTATGTAAAGGGGAACGCAGACATTTTTTTTTTTTCTATATGTGATAACCAAATCACGTAGGTGCACTTGACTTTCGCATGGTTTATGTAGTCATTCGATCACTTGAAAAAAAATACTAGTGATTCAATTCTTTTTTTTGTGTTTCTCTCTTGTATCATCACCAGCATCATCGTAATATTATTATTTCAGCTCGACTTTTTTCTTCTATTCAAATAAATTGTTGACTTACATTTTGCTCGTTGTGATCGATAATGTTTAGTTGATGTCAACAAAAGAAAATACCAATATATAATGGCATTATTGTTAACAGTTGTGTATCATTCGAGACATAACCTTAAAACGAGGCCGACACACTGTTGATGCTATTGTGATTAGCTTTTTTTTTTTTTCTATATTGCTCTATTCTATGAGTTCAGAACAAGCTATGTCTGCTGTTCAAAGAAGAAAAAAAAACATAGAAAGAAGAATGATGGATGACATGGTCAGTTGACTGAAGAAACGGAAAAGAGAATGACCACTTCACTTTCTCTTGACATCATCACTAAAGAATCCGATGAAAAGAAAAAGAAACACGACAATACCTATTGTTGAAATATATAAAAAAAAAAGATTAAATAATATAAATCAATCGATGACAATGTTTGTATACACTGAGTAATTTTCTAACTTCGATGAATGCATATATATATATATATGAATTAATAAATAATGATTAGAAAATGAGGAAAAAAAGTGAACGATTGCATGAGATAGTCATTCATATTTCGACAGATGCATATATTGACGAGAGTTTTCCGAGTGTTTTTCTCGATTATTACTTGAATGCAAACGAAGAAATCTCAAGTGATACTCTATTAGAGAGAGAGAGTCTTCTTCAGACTTGACATTAAAATAAATAAAAAAAAAAAGAAAAAGAAATTCTATACACAGAGAAACGATACCTGTCGAGAACACATTCTAAAAAAAGACAAAAAGAAAAAAAAAAATTTTTTTTTTTCTTGCGTGTTTCTCGATCCAATTATAGATAGTCAATCTTAATATTCTCTTTTCGCTCTATTTTCTTCGTCGAAAGAGAAATGTTTGTGTGACAAACAACCGCAAGTATCTTGCTTACGCCTCTATAAGATCGATTAAATACAACAGAACACGCACCATAGGCATGAAATCTCTCCGGAACTTGCTTCATCTCGTTCATCGAACTAATGTAGTTGATTCAAGCCGAATTAAATGAGAGAGAGAGAGAGCGAGAGAAAAAAAAATGATGCTTGTATCTTTCTAACTATTATGCCATTAATCGCGTTTGAATGACAATGTCTATATATATGATGTGAATGAGATCCTTTGCCTTGACAAGAAGCAGTCACGCGGTCAGTAACAACTAACGAGACTGCAATTAAATACGCATGCTCTAATTTCCGTCAGAAAAGTTCGCACATACGCACGTATCTGGTCTTGATATAGAATACAAAAAAGAAGAAGAAGAAGAAGAAAACGATGAGAAAAAAAAACTTGAATTAGATCGTACTTCCGCAAAACATAACGTATCAAATTTTTTTTTTTCATCTTCCTACAGTAGAATGAAGAGAACAGGAGTATCACAATCACACTTCAATATTATGTGTGAATAGAAAATAGACTCAATGGATTGATGTATTAAGCAATAGGTTGACACCTTCATTGTTCTTTCATTCTCACTTGTTCTCTATTTTAATATATGCATTATCATCATTATACAAAACGATTTTATTCTTTATCTTTTAAATCCTCTTTTATAGTATTATATAAAATGAGGATTTATGAGTATTTCCTTATTCTACATGTCAAAATTATTCAAAAAGGATAATATCATTGTATGATTAAAATCTTTAATCGAACTCTACTAAAGTGACGTGGATTTAGTGAGATAGTCATTTCCTGTCATATCTAATTACCATCAATATTAGTTCATTCATTTTTATCGAACAAAAAAATAAAAGACTAGACTTATACATTTGACTAACACCTGTGTGCATTGATATCGTTAAATGGATATTCATCATTGGATGTGATGGACAACATTCACATCTTATCTATATATCTATTCTAGTCAAGTATGCGTACATACACATATATGCATATCTCTGCATGATTGCTTCCAGTAATTTACAACATTTATCCAAGAGAAAAAAGCTATGCCGACATACATGTGCATTATTTGTTGATACATATGTAAAGGAACGATAGAAAGATGTCTATGAGATGAGAGAGACATTGTTTTTATAACAAATAATCAAGCCAATAGTTTATCTATTTATTTCTATAGTAAAATGACAGTCAATATAGAAACTCTTTTTCCGTCACCTATTACTTACTCTCGTCTTCCTGTCATCTTTTATTTTTGTTATTATCATAAACAAATGATGACGACTTACAAAGAATGGTTGAGCACTCAAGTATACGATGTAAGTAGACAGCAATAAAGTGACTTCTTCTTTACGTTCTTTCTTCAATGGATATTTAACATCTATTCTTGGCTGGTTTTTTTTTTATTGCATCTCTTTCTTCGTTCTCTATATTTCTATATGTTTCATTAAAAGGAGAACATATAAAGTAACGAGAAGAGAAGAGGATACCTTGAAAAAAAATAGAAATAATAGGGCTACGTGTTTCGAGCTTGTCTCAATCAATCAGAATCGTACGTGTGTTCATACTATAAAAGTACGAACATGAATAGCCATTGAGCTTTGTCAACATCAGACGTGTGTATGTGTCATTAAATGTTTGTATCGTTTATTTATGTCTGCCGGTCATTGTGAACGAGCGAAAAAGAACAATTAATTGGATACTACTATGCAAGAAAAAAAAAAGAGACCCTAGAATGTTAAACAAATAAAGAGACTATCAACGTATGATGATAATCACAATGAATAACGACGAATTACTGATTAACTCAATGAATATGGAACAAAAGAAGACATTCTAAAGGGACCCTAACTGAATAAGAAACCGTAATCAATGCAAATGAATGCATCGTCAATAGAATGGGATTAGAGTAAAAGAAATATATATAATAAAATGCTAGTGAATGTCTTCGAATCAGATATAATCGATTCATTGCAAGACTTCTTTAGCTTTTTCAAATTGACACATCTTTTCTGGATGAATAAACTAATTTAGTATTCAAAGAAAAATATTTTAGTTATTCTTAAAGCTATTTTTAAACGTAATATCACAGTTTTTATATGCTTTTAATAATAGTTTCAATCAGAATAAATACTTATTATATAATAATAAAAGAGATATTTGATACAATGAATGATATTTCTCTTTGATATATGATATTGATATCGAATATTCTATTTAATAAGTATACATATTTAAAAAGAAAAAAGGGGGGATTTATTATTAATTGCATTTTAAAGTTTTTCTTTGAATCAATAAAACTCTAGACTATTGTCTGATAATTCAACCGTGATATTAATCAAGAAAATTGAATAGAAAATGATTTCATTGATCTATTCCTTGTTCAATTGTCTACAAATTTGCATCTTCTCAGAATACATCAGCTTCGAAATTCTTCTTCTTTTTTTTTATTAAGCTTTTGTTAACTTCTCTCTTATTGATACAATAGTTCAATCAATTATTAGTCTGAAACTAGATCCAATGAAGACTTCACTATGACTGTTTATCAATAAGATAGAAATTGTTACAATTTCTTTGAGAACTTTGTACATATGATCTTCTTTGGCATTCGTGCTCTTTTGATTCCATAGAAGTTGCTTTTTTCTTTTTTAAACAAACTGTAGGGGGTGCTTCTTCTAGATATGAAAGACAGTCAATATTTCTCTATGAATAATTAAAAGCACCTAAATATCGAAGATAACCATATGCATGAAGTTTAACAGAGTTATTCCTGATTCATCCCTAATGGTGTCTAGAGACCTGCGGAGTTAGGTTTTTTATTCCGAAACCCAACTCCGACTCAGAAATTTTTTTCTCGAAAGCAGACGACTTCTAATGTATTTTATTGTTTAATTTTAAACATGTATGAATCGATAAACAAGCAAAAGAATAAAAGAAAATCAGAGAATCATTAAAAGATTAATTTTCAATTTCTTTTTCATTTGTTGTGCAGTTCAAATACAAAAAAAAATAACTAGGAAGTATTCGATATATACTATGCCCAAGCAATAGAGTCCTGTATGGAGTCGTTGTCGGAGTTAGCTAAATTTTACAAAAAAAAAATTACACTTTAGCACAGAAGATTTTTTCAATTGTATTATCTAATAAAAGCAGAAAAATAAATACATTAGTCCGACCGATCTGAAATCTGTACTGCTACTAGTTCATCTCTTTTGCAATAATAAAAAAGAATGCTCAAATATTAAATCTTACAGAGTATTTTCATGTTTTATTTTAGGCTGTGATTAGATTATACATAAGTTCATGGTATGAAACAAATTTAAATACGACAATAGACGTTTAAATAACAAATATCAAGAATAATAAATTGCTTTGAAACACATTTAACATAGTGAACAAACAGTTTTGTCATGTAACAGTGTTCTTTTCTTTAAGAAAAACAAAAAAGTATATGAAATTATCTACAAGAAGAATCCATAAAAAAAAACTCAATTGAAGACATACTAATTATAATTTAAATTTACTAGCAGTAAAAATGTTTAACAAAATTTATCGTATTACTCGACGAGGTTTATTTTCAATTTTTTTTTCTTCACTACTGTAAGCGTTGAGAAGAATCTTTTGAAAAATATGATAAATTTAATAATAGAATTAAGAACCAAGAGATGAAACAGGTGTTCGTAAAATAAAATCAAACAATGAACATCGTGAACGTGTATTACAATATTGATCAAGATAACAATATAAATCTCGTACTTTAGCACGTTGGTCTATTAAATAATCATATACTTCATAGAAGGATTCGATTAAATTCTTATCACCATACGCTGCATATATCAATGGACGTATAGCTTCAGAAGCAGCTGTTAATTGAATAATTGCTAAAAAAATATATATACATAGAAAATAAAAGTTGAATAGAAAAGATAATAAATTTATACCTTTTAATTGTCTATCACCATTGAATGCACCACAACCCCAATTTCCAGTTGCAATAGAAAATGCATGATCCGATGTTTGTCCGTAAGTATGAAAGCCAGCAAAAGCTTTGATTAATTCACGTTTAATAGATTTCATATTGTATTGTGTTGATCGATCACGATAAAATATAGCATCAATAGCTACTACATGAGACCATTTTCTTCCCCAATTATCTCTAAATATATGAATTATCAATGAATATTTATTTTGAAATAAAAAGTACTATATTATGAAAAAATTTCTCTAGATGTCTTCTTCTAATTTTAATATTTCTTATGTGTAGATATTACTTAATGTTCTAATAAAAGTCTTAATAAACCTATCGTATTTTAGATCTGCATAATAGAGAAATAGTTTAAAAATTACTCGGACACTAAGTAGTATTTATATGCAAAAAAACAGAGAAATCTCTAAAATCAAAAGGATATGTCTAAGAAAATTCATATAAAGAATGATATTTCTTACTTCAGTTTTGTATCGATATAATCTCCATTATATTGAAATGTTTTTGAATAACCTTTATACGATGAATATCGTTCACAACCAATCAGATAGATACATTCATTCGGTTTTAATACTTCACAAACAAGTAAACTAAGAAGCATTTCAGGACAAATAACAAATCGTATTTCTTCTTGAACACAACCTGAAGTTAATACACCACCACCCTATTCAATAGTATATTTGTCATTAGAAAATATAATTATTGAATTTTTTTTTTACTTACAATATATTTATTGGCAAAATCAACCTAAACAAAATGACTATATGAAAAATAAACAAGTTCATATATTTACTTGTAAAACACAATCAATATCTTCTATCTTTTTAGCCGTTGTTAAATGCATAGGAATGAGACCATTTGTTGATTTAGACCATTTTGGTGTAAATGGATCAGATAATACATAACGTTGAAAAGTAATTACACCATTAGGCACTAAATAGAAGAATGATTTAGTATGACAACAACAAAAAACATTCTCTTATGCAACTACTTTTTCTAGTAATACGTTCAAAATAATGTAAAATACATTTAAGTTTTTCAATTTTTTGTATAGATCCACGTTGATATAATCTTCAAAATTCAAAATCATAATAATATATAAGAAATCATCAACAACAACAAAAAAAAAATTTACGTATTAAAATTTGGATTTTGAAAACTTTCATATTCTTTTTTAACTTTTGAACCAGTACGATATGGAAATAAACAAAAAAATGCACATGCTAATAATGAAGCAGCTTGTCGTTGTGACATTGTTATTGAACGATTTGATCTGATACGTAATAAAGGTGGTGGCTAATTTAAGAAAATATCATTTGAAATTTGAGAATAAAAAAAAGAAAAATTAACAATACTCGACTACATATTAGATCGACATTTAATGCAAGTGAACAAAGATTTGATAGGACAGTTGACATAAAATATAAACGTTGTTCATTTGAATAAATCTTTAAGAAATATAATTAATAAACTTGTTTTTTATTATTATTATTATTATATTTTAAAATTTACTTCATTAATGAGATGTTCAAGACAATCCATATTGTAATGACATTCAACACAATTTTCAATTGTTCTCTATTATGATCACAATGCATACACATTTGTCTCCAAATATTGTTTTCATACAGATTTAATTTCCGTAATGATAATTCGCATTAAGAATTCAACTAATGACTTGAATAGAGAAAATTGTTTCTAACAAGAGTTTTGAAGAAAAATAAAATCTTCATAATATTCCTAAAATCCAAGATCTGATCTTCAAGCTTTTTTGACTGAATTACATAAATTTTAAGAAAAACTTAAAAGTCCTTTTTTTTCGAGAAATGCCGAAACAACCATTTTTGGAAGTACTGTAATGATTTTATTTTGTCTATTCAATTCATTATTTAGATTCTTTATACGAGTTACCACTAAGGCCACAAAAAAAATCGAAATTAAATCTGTATGATCAATATTTAGAATCATTTTATAAAAAATTACTTTTAAATCTTCTACAGTTGCTGTATGAGTATCACATTTTCGTTTAAGATCACATAATAATTGACAAATAATAGACCATCGTAGATGTCCATTTTTCTTTTATGTAGAAAATAATCTTATAAAAAATAATCATATTTTTTTTTCCAACTAACCGAAGTATACAATGTTGAACATGGCATACGAACATGATGTTCATCCCATGAATCAATATAACGATAATCTTCATTAATTGGTATAGGTTCACGATTAGGATTAGATGGATTATATTTAAATGGCTAGTCAACAAAAAAAGACAAAATTTACAAAAATTTAATTTTATAGTAATTTTTTTTTACTTTAATCATAAATATCCAATTATTAGTTCGAATATC